GAAAATGGCTGCCCAGGTTATCGAAAGACGAGTAATCATGATAATGCATAAGAATCACTACCACTTAAAAACTCCATCCTCAGTCGCTCTTTCAGGCATTCCTGTCCCATTACCTCATTGTATCTTCACAGTAATTTTATAAAGAAGGATCCTTAGATCCATTTTACAGAAGAGAAAACTGAGACATAGCTGGGCCTGGTGATACATGGCTGTATTCCCAGTGTTCAGGCTGGAGGCAGGAGGATGGTGAGCTCAAGGCCAGGACTACAGAGTATGAACCTGTCTCCAGAAACAAGAAACAAACCATGATTTTTTAAAAATCAGATAGCTAGTAATTGACAAAACTATTATTTGAACACAGTTGTTGCTTCTGATCATGAGATTGAACACAAAACTCTTTAAAACTCTGAAGATGTGTCTTAAACATAAGATTTATTTTTAAAGAATTCATATAGTTTGTTAAATTTTAATACTGGATAATTTTGTTTCTTTGTGGGAGAAGGAAGATGTATAACTATATAGGTGTGTTTTCCCCCTAGTTTCACATGCATGATTAAAATTCATTTTTACCTAACAGTCTGTCCTGGCAGTTACCTGTATACAGATATATAGAGTTCTGCCCTACTAATCCTCTGAAGTGGCTGCTTTCTAATTCTCAAAAACCATTCTGATGTGTTAGTTACCGAGCAATCAAAATTACTAAACAGAATTAATATTGTGAAGTTCTGGACATCTGAATACTAAAATCACAGTACAAATACTTTGCATTTCTTCAAAACCAATTTTAACCACTTGGTTTGCCTCTCGCTTTCCTGTGTTGTTTAAAAGTGCACTACAGCAATTTCCCTCCTCCCTGTAGCAATGTCTTTCATCTGCCTGACTAACGTTCTTTAGCTAGAGAGTGGAGCTTTTTAAAGTCAGAAATGAAACCAGGAAGTAATTCCTGAGTTGCCCGCGTCGTTACAGGTCACTTGCAGTCTCTTCTGTCACCCTAATCCTCTCCACCAGTCTATTTGGAGGACTTTCTTAAGTTATTTAATCTAATTCTATAATTTTTGTCATGAAAATAATTTCTTGAACAAGAAGTCAGGCTTTCTTTTTTTAATACACACTTTTTTTCATATAACATGGCTTGGATGAAATAATTAAGCATATGTTTGACTTTAAAATTCAAAATGTTAGGTAGTGATACCTGGTTTTCATTGCTAAAGTAACTGAACCATTTTAAATAAATCTCTTGTGAATAACAGGGTAAAAATGACAAGCACCCATTTAAAAAATGCTGAGATCCAAAATACGGCTGAAAACCTGGCCAGCAAGGCCCAATTTTAAATTCAGGAGAAAAATACAAATCACTTTTGTTGGAGAAAAAGAAAAACAATGTAATACAGTTTAATTTTTTGCTTTCTTTAAGGGGGACATAGAGATCATAAACACTGGGCAGAGAGAATTTTATTAATGTGAAGTCAGTTTATTCACTCACACTTAATGATCATTTACTATGTGCCACTCACCTTCCCCTGAGGGCTCACTCTTCCTAAAGGGAAAAACAGGAACACTAGGAATAGGACAGGGCTAGGCGGTCTCTTTCACAAAGAGCTGTTAGAATAATCAGCAGTTTGAAGTCTGTATTTGCAACTTTCAAAGTGTTTGAACCTCCGTACACACTGGCTAGAAATAATGTATGCGCATGAAAGCCCAAACAAGTTTCATGTTTTTAAAATACAACTGGTAACTCTGTGTTCTTTTTTTGTATTTCCTTTCCTCACTTAGCAATCTGTCCTGGCAGTTATCTGTAGCAACGCATGGAGCTCTGGCATCACTAATCCTTTTAAGTGACAATACCAGTTCTATGTGCTATTATTTAACCAGCACCCTAGGGCTGAGTGCTTAGGAGGTTCTAGTATTTAGTATTATAAACAGTT